CTTTTTGGGCTCCCTTGTTAAAACCCAAATTTAATAGGAACAAGGGTACCCGTATTATTTAAGGGCCTAAAGGGGAACCTAGAAGGATTGCAGCCTTCGGGGTGTAACTTCCCGCGGAGGGAATGCCAGAACCAGTGCTTGTGACGTATGGGTGATTCTTTAAATTAGGGGCTCGTTTCAGGTCCCCAAATTAAAACAAACATTGCAGGGAACGAGAATTTAGACAACTACTCATATGTTTTGAGGTTTTTGTTGGTACCTGTTGGTACCGTTTAGACTCCAACAGCAAAGCGACCATGATAAGAATGACAGCGCAAGGATCGAGTTGGCTGTGTTGCAGGCCAGGCACTCAGCCGTAAAAGGCTTAACTTTGGGGTTTAGGGTTCGGAGTCCCGGCTGGGCATTGAGGTGGAGTTTTTGGGCTTACTTCGTGCATACGGGAAAGAAGAGGGATGTCTACTGCCGAGCATAAGGCCTTAGCATGAATTTTAGGGATACCCTTCAGCGCCACCTCAAAAGAGCGCACGTAGGTCCTGGGTTTCTGCAGGGAAGTTTTGCAGCTTTGGAGGTTGCACGAAATTTTTGTAGGTTTGAGGAGGGTCTGGTCCTTCCGTTTGATCTGGATCTCCCCTAAACCCTAAACCTTACCTCGCTTTGTGGCATCGATCCTTAGCCGCCTTAGCCATGCGAGAGGGAAAAAACACGTATGCAAGGGGTGTGCGGTTCGAGGATCTCTGCTGTGGGTCAGGGTCGGGCTTCTACCCGGGGGGGTGAGGGGACAGACTGCTGGCAATGATCTTGGAGCTTGAACCCCTACTGTACCTGGACCCCAAAGTATGTAGAATAACAGCCTTTTTGTGGGCTTTGGGCCATGAGTTTGCCTACTTTTGGGGGTCAGTAGGTACTGATCAACAAACACAGAATACACTTAGTTGAGCCGTTTTCTCGCTGCACCCAACAGACTTACTCCGACGCTTCACCACATTGCTTCACGGACGGAGCAGAGCCGCTCCAGTGTTTCAGAGTCTACGTATGGCGCCTGACCTTAGAGCGAGCATCCGAACCGAAAGCCGCAGCAGCCGAGGTCATTGAGACCCTGTAGGACGCTCTGCTTGTGGATCCATGCCGTTTGAGTTCTACCGATGGCTTCACGTCTATGCCACTCGCGATTCGGTTTGAACGTGCGTAAGGTCAGCTCGTGGGATTTAGGTTTTAGGGTTGGGGCCCATGAAAAGTCTGGTGCTTTGGCAAATGGTGCAAAAGCATTAAGTTCGTATTCAACGGGTGGGGTTCACCACTGTTTGTGAAAGCCACATTCCCGACACAGAGGTTAACCCTTCTGTGCTGCTTAATGACGATGAATGACCCTTTAATGCCCAATCGTACACCTGGGCTTAAAGCAGTTGCAGCCTCCCCCAACGTATGGACACCCTGAGGCTTTAACTCATTTGATAACATAGAACCGCAATGACATTCACTTTCGCAGTTTAAAGCTTCGGGTTTTCACCAGTCCGCAGTGTCCTTACATCCTTAATTAACCCTAAACCGCAAAAAAGGGATGTACTGAGCGTAGACCCAACCCGAAGCCCAGAGATCCCAATACCCCTTAATTAAGGAGTATACCTTGAATCATCATATTAAGGCCCCTATAATTTTAAGGTTATATTCCTTAATTAAGGGGTGTTGGGCTCTCTGGTAAGCCTTGAACCGTCATTGCGACCATCCTGGAGGAGGAGTCCGCTCTCAGTGCCTTGGCTCTGCCAAGCAGCCAGAACCTCAGGTCACAACAGTTCTGAAGCACAAGCACGCAGTTATATCGGGTTTTATGTGTGTGTATACACATACGCATACATATAAATATTTACACATGTGTATATATAAATAAATAAATGAATGTATATATATATATATAGATTGATATTTGTTTGTGGTTTTGGTTGGGCAAGCACTATCTGACATTCCAAAGGGTGTTAGGTCTGTTCGGTGGCCGAGTTTGGGATATGCACCTTGAGCACACACAGGTGCCGCGAGGTCTCGGAAGCGAGCTACAGCCAGTTTCGAGTTCAGAGTTCAAACCCCAAACCCTAAACCCTAAACCCTGCGTTTACGGAAAAAGCCCTCAAAACAAACCACAGGGTTTAGGGTTGTTTCACAAAGGGTAGCCATCTTCATCAAAGTGGCACCTGGAATCTTCTCGTCGCGCCCTCCTTCAAAATCGAAAGCTTCCTTTGAGGGCACGAGAACAGTGTTCTTGCAAGGGTTCCCTAAGGGTCCATGTATCCAAATAGATATACTTTGGCCTTAATGTAGTCCCTATTTGGGTACTTTGGGGCCTATGTATATCTATTTGGCTACATGGACCCTTAGGGGTTACTATGGTAACGTTCCGTCAAAGGTTCTGTTCCAGTCGTAGCATGAAAGTCATAAACGCCAGCCCAGGCAAACTGCGAAACTTAGTATTCGATTCGAACCTGTGTATGGGCTCCCTGCACCGGTTCATGAATTTGTACCCATATCCACCCAAATTCACTTGTGCAGGGCAAGTAATGCGGGACACGTTCAACACAACCTTTTAACCTCAGCAGGTTTTCTTGGGATCCGAAAGCCCTGTAAGCGTAGGGTTTGCGGTTTAGGGTTTATGGGGTTTAGGGTATTTAAACTCTAAACTCATAAATCCTTTTTCTCCGAAGCTGCAGGAGTCGAGTTCTGTGAGCGGGCACGCCATGATATTTTTCTGTACAGCTCTGAAGGAAGGGAAAACTTTGAACCTTGCAAAAATATAGGCCTCAAGACATCTCAAGACCTATAAGCCCTGAACGCGATCTCCTAAACCTCAAAACCCTAAATGCTAGAGGGATCCATTAGTCTTCGAAATTCAGTGCGGGTGTTCATGCGTTCACGGCTCGCAGGTTTGTGCTTTTGGGTGAGTTGCTTGGCCGTCTCTTAGGGTTTGGGGTTTAGGGTTTAGCAGATCACTGGGTCGTGGGTCCTATGCGGTTTCCCTATGCCCTCCCATGGTGCTTCCTCTTTGGGTGCACCGTTTCATGACTAGGATGCCAAAATTAGACAGGCGAGGTAACCCAAAGAAGACTTGCAATGGAGACTGGAGGTATGTTGGGCCTATGTAGCCCCATGGCTCCGGTTACTGACATAATGAGTTACTAGGTATATAGTCTAGTAGGTTAGTAAACCCTATAATCTCTAGACTTGTAACCTACTAATTTAGGTAACTGGGGCCCTTGGAATTCGCTGGGGCTTTGTACTGGAGCTCACAGTATTTTAAGGGTATTTTGGTATATCCATGTATAACCTGAAGCTTCTTCAATAACTGTTCAAGCCACTTTGGTTGTTTTGGCTTTTGACAGGATCTGGAAGGCTCGCCCGAGTCGACTTTATTACTGGTTCCGAGAGGCGTGCACAAGGCGTTTTATGCAGTCCAACTACTGTTGATGATGTAAATCCTGCATTACCTTAAGGACCCTAAGTTATGGGAATTATGGTATATTCCTTATGATGAGTAACGCAGGCTTTATATCATCAACAGTAGTACTCCAGCCCCCGGCCTCCCCTCCTTCGCTCCTGCATGCAATAGCGCAAACCGTGCTGCCAGCAGTCGCCTAGCAGCTTGACGTGTTCGAGTTTGGAGCTTCCAAGAGGAGGCGGATCGAAGATAGGAGAACCTTAAGGGTCCAAGTAGTAAGTAGTCCTTATTTACGGCTTTGGGTACCCAAAATGGACCCAAAGTCCTCTAAGAGGGAGTACTTGGACCCTTAGGGGAAAAAGCAGCACAAGCACTCTGCCTTTCCCACCCCTCGCCTCCAAAGCCTCGGGCGGAGTCTTCGGCTTCCAGGATCAGATTCAGCCTTGCTGTTGGTACGGGGAGCAGGTTTGGCTCTCAGGTTCTGAGACCTTCAAGCCTGAACCCTAAGCCCTAATACTAAGATCTTAAAGCCCCAACCCTAATCCCTAAACCCTAGTACTACGACCTTAAAGCCCCAACCCTAAACCCCAAACCCTAGTACTAAGACCTTAAAACTCTGAACCTCCAAAGAGCTTTTTCACCTTAAACCGTCAACCCATGGTCTCTTTTCTAGGTGCCCGGACACCTATGTTCCTACGTAGACTTAGGGAGACCCCTTAAAGGGGAGCCTTCTTAACCCTACTTATGGCTCTCTAAAAAGGGAACCCTTACTGAGAGGCCTCTATATCCCCAAGATTCCCCCTTAAATCCTAAGTCCTACTGTGCAGTCGGCTCCTGTTCCTTGCATCCGACGAAGTAGCCACCCTAGGCTCCTAAGCGCGGAGTCGTTGCTGTGATGGTTTGTGGGCCTCGCACCTTCCGGCCTAAGCCCTAAAACCCTATAGAACCGAAACTCTCAACCCTGAACCCAAATTCTAAACCCTTTAATCCCTACCAGCTTCTGAGCCCCAAAAAACCTAAATCTCTGGCCTTCCTCAAGGGAGCAATGTTTTCGCCATTTTGTCTCAAGCCGTTCTCCATGGGCTTCCAATTGGGTTTAGGGCACAACGCCTGTTCAGAGAGTTGACTGGCCAGAAGCTTCAAGCTGTTTGTCATGTAGCCGCTGCCACTGACACGGTGCCCGGTCGAAGTAGCCCATCTTGGCATTTTCCTATTCCTGGCGACAACTTCTCAAGCTTACCTGGTGCTCCAAGATGACCGACTGCGCGCAGCGCATCTCTTGCTCAACTGTCTCCAAGAAGCTATCTAGACCCGAGGTTGTAGTCTGTTTAAGAATACCCCTCTGATTTTATGCATAGGGTCCTCGGCCTACACAGGGGCTCTCCAAAAAAGAGAGCTACATTCCAAGGTCAAGGTGGTGACGAATGACTGGGGTATGACGACAAAGTCAGGGCTAAGCCGAGTCTTGCACCATTTTGAAATCAAGTCGCCCATCATGCTCCAAGTTTAGGACGCCTGCTTTTTGCATGGCAGAACTGTAGACCCCGACTTAAAAATCCCTGACCCCGAAGCCGCGCCGATGGCAGCTCGGAGGCCACGAGTGAAGAACATGTGCTTGGACAACCTGAAACGAGACGATCGGAAGGAGAAACCGGAGAAGCATGGACCAAGCAAGGCGGAAGCTCAGCAGAAGAGACTGGAGCTCTTGGCCGAGATGACGGACAAGCTGCAATTGATCTTGCAACTGGGACTCCAATTACCTACAGTTTTTATGGGTTCTACCTACTAATTAAGGGGTCATGGGTGCTAACCTGTAGGTAAAGAGAGTTACAGGCAGCGCCTCTCCGATCCAAACCTCCTTGATGCTGCGAAGAAGGAGACATATCGCAACATGGCTGAGTCCATTCAGAGGCAAATCGCCTCTCTAAAGCCCCCGGAGTCCAAGAAGCAACAGCGACGTGAGGAGCGTCGCCGCCGACAAGAGAAGCGCTACAGAGGCTCTGAGTTTCGGAAACCGGAGACCACCACTTCTCAGGAGGATCCTAAAGACGACACCGAGAAGCCCTGGGTCAGTGAAGCTTTGATGGACTCCGAGTCTTCGGAGCCTTCGCCAGTATTGGATTCGGAGCCTCCGCCGACAAGGGCTCGGCCGGCACCCAGCTGTGCGCCACACCTCCAGCGGATTGCTCCAAGCAGCGCGCCGGCTGTCAGAAAGCCGCTGCCGAGGCCAGCAAACCTCGAAGTTCCCGAAGCCACCGATTTCCAGGATTCTGGACCGCCACCAGCTGACAAGGTAGCCTGCTCCGGGCCCACCGAAGGTGCTGAGCGTGGCTTCGTTGCAGACTCGGTGGCGTCATGTTGAAAAGGCTGCGCCGTGTCATCGCAGATACCCGAAACTCCTACACCGCAAACCCTTCAACCCCTATCGTACCCCGAAACGACCTACCTTTAACTTGCAAGGCTCTAAATGTAATCAGAGTAAGGTGCCCCATGACGGTAGGGCCCTGAAGGTTCAGGTTTTCCCAAAAGCCCCTGTCGCCGTAAACCCAGTGCCAAACTCGGCCCAAGTTCGTCCGGCCGTGCACCTACCCTCCATCTACCCAATCTACCCTCTATTCGACCGTAAATGCCCTTAATTTAGGACCCTTTACCCCTGTTTGAGGGTACTTGGAGTCCTGAGGGTACTGGCAGCGAGGCCGGTTTTGGAACGAAGGACTTCAGAGCAACGGGTCTCCCTCCGGCACCCTTGATCAGAGCTCGCATGGTTAATAGAAGGTACCCATATGCATAGGCTCCTTAGTAGTTCCTTTTTGGGGATTATCTTACAGGGTTCTAAATATGAACCCTAAAACGGAACTACGCAGGGGCCTATGGGTAAAGCCATGTCAGCGGCCCCACGCCTTTTCTGGTTCGAGCCTCTGTTGTTGACTAAGAGATGTCGGCCTGACAGGGTCCACGCTCCCTGCACCTGAGACCCTACCTTTAACCTACCAAAGCCTACTTTGTTTTCGTAGGGTCCCTATAACTTCCTTATTCGGGTTCATAGTAAGAACCTACAAAAAAATAAAGTAGGTTTGGGTAGGTGAAGGTAGCACTGCACATCCAAAAAGAGTTCGGTGGAGCGAGCCTCGCCATCTTAGCCTCCACATGGGAGCTTCACCATCCAGCTGCTCGAAATGCTGCAAGAGCATCGATGATGCCAAGGAGCCTCGATTTTTGTGCATTTACGCAACTCAATAACTCAACTGTCAAATCTCTCCGGCTTCTTCGTAGTCGCGCCATCCGGTAGATTACAGATGTGCATGGCCGCATGAGTCGTAGCACATGATACTTCAGATACCGGCCTGGCCTGGTCTTGAGCTTGTGCGTCCTGTGTGTTCTGTTCTCTACAGTTTTCCATTGCCTGCACCACAGTAATCCGAGGACTTTCCCTGTCTCTTGGATTTTAAGATGCATTAAGTATGTCATGACAGGTTCAGCTGCAGTTTGTGAGAAGCCGGAACGCAGCTTCACCAACAGCATGATCACGCCAGTGGTGGTAGCGGTCGCCTGCCGGCGTCGTACTCTGCGTCGTGGTGGTGGTAGTAGTTGTGGCAGGAACAGCAGTAGTATGTAGTAGTCGTAGTGGTAGCAGCAGCTGTAGTCGTTGTCGTGGAGCAAGTCAGCAGCAGTAGCAGTCGTCGTCGATGTCGTCGTCCTCGTCCTCGTCCTCGTCGTCGGCGCCGTAGGAGGAGGAGGAGGAGGAGGAGAAGGATTACAAGCTACCATTACATTGAAGAGGAACACGAAACATTTGCAAGTACACATACAGACACCATGTTATGCGCACACACACATAGATTATGCATACAGACATGATCGACTTTCTTGTATTCAAATTTATCAGCGTATGTGTATTTCTGCTCATGTGGTAGTGACCCATGGGCGAAAAATTGCCCCCCCATTGTCAGTGAGGACGTTGATGTCGCAAATAAAGAACGCACACTATCTGTCTGCAGTTACAGGGCGGGCACTGCAGGAATGTATAGCCTAGAATGCATCAATCGGCATAAGTTAGGGCCATGATGGTAGCGCAGTCTGTCATTGTCAAGGCTAAGTGTAGGAAGAGCATCACTGTCGATAGCCGCAAGTCTGCGTGGCTTCACAGGCGGAGGATGCAGATGCTTCCTTGGACCTGGTCCAAGCCGAGGGAGCGCTTTTCCAAGGACTGAAAGTTTGGCTGCTAAGGTTACAAGGGCATTATATTCCCAGAGGCTCCAATATCCCTTAGTTAAGGAATTATACCTTAAATCTCACCAGGGTTCCTATTATGATTTTAGGTATATTCCTTAATTACGGGATATTGGAGTCTCTGTGTTATACAGTTGCCATAAAGTGCGACTAGGGTACCGCAAGACCCTTCCCTCTTGATTAGGCTTTTGGGTCTTGGTGTGTCAACCGAACCAAGGTGCAGGATACAACCCTGATCCCTCTTGATTGAAAGAGCAGTATGGGGCTCTTGAAGAGTGTCTCCCTCTGAAGGTACCAGGACTCTAGAAGCTCTGCTGTTTAAGGTTTCGGCTAAGTTCATCTTTCTTGCTAGCCCGTATAGGAGCCCTTACACCCCCCCCCCCCACCGGTCCCGGTCCCGAAGAAAAAAACCTTCACTCAAAGCACACCATCCTTGAAACTCTGGGCTCCTGCATTCTCCGGAGGTGTGGCCGAGACCGAAGAGAGACAAGATCCAGATGAGGTTCCGGGTGTGAAGTTTGGGCTTCTGGATGGATAGTGGTTTGTTTGTGTAGCGGTTCATGCACAGGTTGAATCCCGGTTTCGCGAAATGCAGGGGCCTGAATAATTACCAATACTGTCTTTAGGGGGGTTCCCTATCATAATTGTAGTATGTTACACCCCAAAACCCTATTCTAATGTTTAAGGCCCCTATATTAGGAGCCCTGAAGAGGTCTGTGAGTGTTTTCTGTGAAGCAGAGGTTTCTTGCAACTTGCATAGGGGTCGCTTTGGCCAGGGATCTGGGTCTGTCACTGATTTTTGGAAACTCTTGCTTAGTGTTTGGCTTAGGTTTTGTAGGATTGAGGAAAATTCTGGTTGGGTTTGTGTGAAACTCTCTGACATCATTTGGTTGAGGCTTTCTAGGTTTGAACGATATGGTGGCTGGGTGTGCACTTGGACATTTGCACAACAAAGAGAGCCCAAACACGCCGACGTCTAGTTGCCGGAGCTTGGCAAGACCCCAGCATCAATACGAACCCTAAACCTTAACCCTGAACCTTAAGCTCTAAGCCTTAAGCCCTAAACCCTGAACCTTAAACCCGAAGACTCGCTGCCACCTGTGCGAAACATGCGGGGAAGAAGGATTAGACCCCCAAACCTTCAAGACCGAAGAATCATGGCCCCAGAGCATGGAGGGTCCCAGGGTTTAGGGCCCAGGGAGTTGCAGTCCCTGCTCAAAAAAAGGGCCCAGGGAGTTTAGGGGTTCGGGTCTAGGGTCTAGGTTTTAGGGAGTTTAGGGCTTAGGGTTGAGGGAGTTTCAGGCTTATTTGTAGGGCCGAGAAGCCTAGCACAGCAACAAAAAACACCGTCACAGCCCTTCATGAAAGCCTAACAGGACGCGAGCCCTACCCATGCCTGATGCCTTCAATTAACCATCGGGACTTAGTCTCTAGACTTTGTTTACGATGCTCTGACTCGCCAGTGGACTTCGCTTCGAAAAGATGCTAAACATCTAAACCCGAAGCCCATAAACCCTTAAAGCTTCGGCGTGATACCAGACACTGTGGGACCTCACCTGGCATGTCTGAGTTGTGCAAGTGTAAACCCCCAAACCCCAAAAGACTTAAACCCTGTACACCTGAACTCTGAAACCACTCATCATGGCCTTGAAACTCCCACTAGACCCCTAAACCCCTAAACTCAAATCCTACAGTCATTTCGGTGAGAAGCCAAAGGACCACCCCCCCCTTACCTTCCATTTTTAAGGACTAGAATATGAGGAAATCAGAACAAGGAAGCCGGAAAAAGTTAGGCGCTTCAGGGTCTAGGTAAACCCTATAAACCCCTGCACCCTAAACCCTAAACACTAAAGCCCTCCACTCGCTTTGGTTCTCCCTTCAGCTTCAGTTCGAACGAGATCTCTGCGGTGCGACATAGTCAGCTGTTCGGGTGTGAAAAAACCCAAATTTCTATTGTCCCCACCCTAAAACCCGAAACCCCTAGACCGTAAACCATCGCGAACCCTAGCCACTATATGTTATACAATCCGAAGCTCTAAACCCCCTTTCCCTGGAACCCTAAAGCACCGACACCTGAACCAGGAGTGCCATCGGGAAAAGAATTTCCAGGAGACAACCGCGGCTCGCTCAGGCAGGGCCTCTGGGGGGCTCTAGATCTAGGACATTTTCAGGTGGGTAGTTATCATTCTTGGAGCCTTATAGAAGCTCTATATATATATATATATATCTTATAGAAGCCTTAGAGAAGCCTTAAACACCCTAAACTCACCACCTGGAGTTTCCTTTAACTAGAGTTTTGTTTCCAGGGATCTTTGGGGGGCTCGCTAGGGCTTCGGGGGTTTTTGGGGGCATTTCGGGCTTCGGGCTTGGTGTCTAGGGCTTTAGGGCTTCGGGGATTTGGGTTTTGGGGTTTAGGAGTTTAGGGTTTGGGGCTGCAGCTGCCTATCTTAAGTGCAAAAAAAGACGACTAGACAGTAGGAATAGGGTGTCGTAAGGCGTCTATATGTCAGAGGAAGAGTTTCGCTGGCTGTCAGTGAGGGTCTGGCATACAGGAGGGGTCTGATTGGATGGGGTTTGGCGTGCATGTTCTTGGGACTATGCCGGGACGCTCTTTTCACTATTCAGGCCTAATTCCTAGGAGCCTTTTGCTGAGCCAGGATCCCGGAGCAAGGGTTGTTGCGGAGGTAATGCATAAGGGCCCCTGCCATAGTGTAGAAGCTCTTTGCTTAAAGGCCTGAGATCATGTCTCCGGGAAGATGTCGGATGCAGGGCAGGGTAGTTTCGCGTTTGCATTTCCGGGGGGCGTAGCGCGGAGGGATCAGAGATTGGCTGTTGGAAGCTTGTGGTCTGGAGCGATTTAGGGGTTTTTGGGTTCAGGTGGACTGCGAAGTGTCATTGTGGTGAGAAAGCCTGGTGATACACAGCCACACTATGTCAGTATGACAGAGAGGCTGTGGAATTCGAGCTTGTCACATTGTAGTTCCTTCCCCGAAATTCATGCTGAAAGCTGTGAGCTGAGCTTTTACTTGCTACGGTATCCTGGCTTTAAGCCCCAAACCCTGAGCCCTGAACCCTAAACCGAGAACCCTAACCCCTTAACCCTGTCTTTTGTCAAAGGTTTCGAATTCTTCTCCGAGCAGTTTGAGGGGGCGAAGGATCAGGATGAGCAGCAGGAGAATATTATTTGTCGCTTCGGTTTAGGGTTTAGGGCCCTAAACCCTAAACCCTGCAATGCGGGCTCGTCCTAGCAAGGCGGGAGGCAAAAAAAAACCTAAGCCCTAAACCCTAAAAGGAATGTACCTTTAGGTTTCTGAGGCTGGTAGCTCCCATGTTTGAGGGTTTTGGAGCTTTGGCTGCAGGGATTCAGGGTGTAGTACATTGCAGCCCCTGCTCAAATAAAGGGCTTAGGATGTAGGGCATCCCAAGTTTCAGGGTGCAGGATGTAGGAATTAGGGAAAGTTCATGGTTAAGAGGCTTTAGTAAATGCTGGTTCAGCAATGCAGGAAGGAAAAAAAAACAAAAAGCAAGCTTGCCCCAGATCTGCGAGCCTCCAGAGGACGACTCCTGGAAAAAGCTCGTTGGCTTTGCCAGTGCAGGCAGAGGGATGTGGGTGGTATAAGGGATCTATATAGGGTTTGTTAGAGCGAGTTGCAACGGTTGCCATCATTGAACTCTTATTGTCGGGTTCAGGGTTTAGGGCTTTCAGGTTCCAGGGTTTTGTGGGTTCGGAATGTATGAATCAAGGGTTTGGGGGAGGTATTGGCCTTTGTTGATGGATGTGTCGGGGTTAACTGGATGTTTCTATGGTTGGGAAGTATCCTTGAGCTTCACATGGGGTGAAGCTGCATGTCGTTCTTGGTAGCAGAGTTCAGGGATTTCGTAACGGTTTTGCCCATTGGGTCGACGTTTGAGTAAGCACGTGGGCTTGAGAATCTGAGAAGGACTTGCAAAGTGAAGCCCGTCAGTGTGCAGACAAGCCACGAAGTATCAGGTTGAGGTCGCAACCCATTGTGCAGATGCTTCGGTGGTAGTACCGGCCCCCTGAAATAAGCAAAACGTGATGAAGCGATGAGTACCTTTTCAAATTGCAAACTACGAGAACCCCTAACCTCCGAAACTCTCCATCTAAGCCCATCATACGAGTGGGAACAGCCCTGATTAGTTCGAGCCAACTTCCAACGATCCACCCACGCTTTCTGAGTTTCTGCTGAAATCCTGTAACACTAAACTCTCCAGTTTTCAGCCCTATAAGGCGTAAGCGACGTCACCCGAAGCGCCGGAGCCCTCATTTTCCTAAACCCCCAACCCTACACCCTAACCATAACCTTCAGCCCCTTACGTCCCAAACCCCGAGCATGTCGAGATTTCGGAGTCTTCCGTGGAGGCTACTGGGTTATGGGCCTCAGACTTGAGGTTTTGTGCAAGATCCCACTACATAAGGCAATGGGGGCCTAAAGACTTCTAATTCTCCTAGACCCTTCACCCTTGTTAAGCGCCCCAAACCCCTATTCTAAATATCAAGGTGAGGCGTTGCTATCGAACCTTTAAAGGAGCCCTTTTGGCAAATGCTCGCAAAAAACAAGAAAATCAATAAGCCCCCAAAACCCGAAATCCCAAACCCGCCCCCCCTAAACTCCAAGCCACCCAAACCCCCAACCCCCAAACCCCAGGGACTGAACCCCTAAACCCCCAAACCCCCCCTCTCCCCCTTTCAATAAGCAAGGTTTAGGGTTTAGGGTTTTAAGGGCCTTTACCGGAAGTCACATGACCCTAAACCCTAAACCCCTAAACCCTAAACCCCTAAACCCCTAAACCCTAAACCCTAAGCCCTATAAAGCCCTAAAGCCCTAAACCCCAAACCCTAAACCCCTAAACCCTAAACCCCTAAACCCCTAAACCCCTAAACCCTAAATTTGATCCCCGCAGGCTCTGGAAGCTCCTGGAGCAACATGGATGCAGTTGGGAGTTGGTTTAGGGGTTCAGGGTTTAGGGTTTAGGTTTCAGGGTTTAGGGTCTAGGGTTTAGGGTTTGGGGTTGAGGGTTTAGGGTTTGGGGTTGAGGGTTTAGGGGTTCAGAGTTTAGGGTTTAGGGTTGAGGCTTGTTGTAAGAGGCTGTTTAAGGGTAGTTCTCTAAACCAGGGTCGCTTTTTGAGGTCCTTAATGTAGTACGGCACCCTTACAAGAGGAACCAAGGAACCCTAAAAATTAGAGAACTACCCATAAGGTGTCATTTCAGGACTCCGTTGAGGGTTGTGAACCCAGCTGGGCAGGTGGCAAAAGCGGGTTCATAATATAGATTTCTGCTTTTCGGGTTTGGGGTCTATCCGGCCCACTAGCTATCTTGAGGGTTCTGGATTTTAACTGTGGGGATCTGTTCTCAGAGTTTAACACTTAAGGCCTTAAGGTTTAGGGTTTAGGGCTCGGGCTCTCAGGGTCTTTCGGGCTGGTTACAATAGCCGTTGACAGGATTCTAAGCAGCCTCGAATACTCCCAACCTCGCGGC